TGACGTCAGCTATCATGAACACTGACGCTCTGAGAATTAGAAATCAGTCGGTGTATGCAATTTGAGATCATGCGAAATAACACCATAAAATGTTTCCATTTTTTAGTTAAAATTGTAACTGTTCCATTGTGTATTTTTCCCTAGTTCCTGGGTGCATAACTATTACTACAAACTAAACCATCAACACCTCTCTAATGGCCAGAGGCTGCATATTTTTCTTTAAATTTCCGCGGGCATTATAAATTAGTAATAGAGCTAGTCACACATTTTCCTCAGATTTTTTCAGGTTGAGGACTCAAAGATATTTTGTGAAAGTGACTATAGTGCCTGGCAAAAAAAGTGATGCACCTAGCAGGAGTGGTCCAATATTATTCTATTTCGGTATACTTGCATACCATTGATGTGTGAGTAAATGATGAGATCCACATGTATCTGTAACGTGTAGAACTCTCACCAGAGAGCGTTCTTAATGTCACCCCCCTGTTGTGCAGTTGTCAGTCAACTTCTGTGAGTCAGAGAGTCAGATGGTGAAGAACTATATTTACGTGCTGTACAAAACACCTGCGATGTCGCGCATGCGCGATCGACAGCCTATCCACCAACTGAGTGCATTTGACTGAGACCGCATTTTGGGACTTCAAGGGGCTGGTTGGTCGTATCGTGCGATTGCCAGAAATGTGGGCTAATCAGATATCGTAGTGGTCCGATGTTCGAATCAACGATTGCATGAGGGCATCCATGCACGTCGTACAGGATATGGTGGGCCAAGCAGAGCAAAATCCCATGACATCGGCGCCTTTGGTCCTCTGTCTATACCTCCCGGGAACGGCACCAATATAAACACCGACGTCGGCACCTGCCCTTAGCGAACGTGTACTGATGACTCTACTAGTTTCCGTTCAGTGGCTCGACGACTTGCATTTGCCGGGTTAGGCCATCGCCCCATGCGTCAGCTGTCATTGACACCAGAAAACCGACATCAGTGTTTGTATTGGTGCCGTTCCCGGGAGGTACGGACAGAGGACCAAAGGCGTCCAATCGTATTCGGTGATGCGTCCAGCTTCGCCGTAACTTCCGATGACCATCGTGTTCGAGTGTAGCGTCGTGAAGGGCAGAGGCCACATTCCGCTCACATTGTGAAGTGACATACAGGCGTAACCCAGGGCATCATGGTGTGGGAATCCATCACATCACCTCTCATAGTGTTTCAGCAAAATTTGACCTTGGTGATATTTCACTAACATTCTGCGCCGCATATCCTACCCCCTATGGCACAGTACCCTGAGCTACTCCAACACGATAATGCATTTCCACTCACAGCATGTGTGTCTATGGGATGCCTAGAACGTGTTGAGGTCTTCCTGCGGCCAGCATGATCCCCGGACGTCTCCATCATTGAACACGTTTGGGATAACATTGGAATGGAACTTCGTCGCAGTACCAACCTGCAAATAAAGGCTAAAATCCAAAGGCTACTTGACACCATTCCAAGCCGCATAGGGGCATACATTGCAGCCAGAGGAGGTGCGATATCCTACTGACATAGCGCCTTTCCACCTGTAACTGCCAACGGCCTTGTTTCTTTTATCACATATTGTAATCAGTTCAATAAAGCCACATGGTCTTTCACCATCTGTAGTTTCATTCGCTTCCAACCACTGTTCCTGGGTGCTTCACTGTTTCTGTCAGGCAGTGTAGTAAAATAACCAACATTAATTCTAAGGCTTTATTCCCTTACAATGAATCCTTTGACAAATTCAGTAATTTACATGATTTTCATATTAAAAATATTTTCGTGACATTAAGAAATAACAATAGTTATCATGAAGCACATTTTAACTCAAAATATAATTCACGAATTAGTGCTTATTAATTTTTAAGTTTTATACAAAGAATTAAAAAAGTGGGGGGGAAATCAAGAAATTGAATAAGTAAATGATCATTTCTACCGTCACAATCCACATAATCAAACTAGAATCTATAAACGAGTGGATACCAGTTAATGTCAGTAGTTAAGTCTTGAAGTGAAGAGGCATGTATTGGCACAATATTAGAAAAAGGGACATTGCACTTCCTTCACCTAGTGTTGCGTTTGCAAGAATGAAGAGTGTTGTTTGCATGATGTTCAACATTAGACATTGTGTACAAATTTCTGAATGAAAAAAAACATTAAAAAGAGAATAGTTTCCCATAATTTCATAAATACGTGATTTTTTTCTTCAATCTCAAAGTATTATATACCTGTTTTTTAGTTTGTTAATCAAATGTTTTATTACCATCTACTACAAATGAATATAATGTAATGAATTCAGACATTTTTATTTATAAGCACTGTTTTCTCTTTTCGTGGGCAAGAAAGATACTACTAGGGGAATTGTATGTTTGCATCAACGTTTGGTACAGTATTGGAATCCTGTACTTTCTGTATAATTATTACTGCTGTTCAACAAACAAGGAACTGAATGCGAGTCTCATATTAGCACTTATTCATGTCTTTACTGGAGTATTTGGGTCACTTCGTGACAATGAAGAAATAATTTCTGAATTTTTTGGGGATTTTGGGGTACAATTTTCTGTATGTATGAAAGCACATCATTTTGTAAAACCGTTCCTTGTTATAAATTGTTTTGTCTTTGTACCATACCTCAGTTTATCGTTATAAGCTTAATTAAACTGCATCCGAGCACAGGGATTAGCTCATTCGGGCGCATTTGCTGTATTTGTTTAGTTATGTGAAAATGAATAAAATTTATTATTATATATTATAAGCATAGTACTCACTTTTGTTTGGTTATCGATTATGAAAATGGAGAGCTTTGACCTTCCTGGAATAGACATATTAGAGAATTGTAAAGACGACTTCATATCGTAAATTAGTCATCGTCCAGTGCAATTCATGTAGGGAGACGCAATAAAACGAAAGATGGAATCGATACAGACAACAAAATACTTCATTAAAAAATCGCTTTACATAAAATAAATATTTTTAAAACACTTTGTAATAAAAGTTAGATTTTTTATTACTTCACGTTATCTATTTGTGGAACGTTAACAAATATGTGAAATACTATGGTTTCTAGTTTACCTTACCTTACCTTACGTAAAAGAGATATATTGAATGGATAACGAAATAACTTCATTCACCCTTGTAGATTTGTATTTCTTATTCATGAATTTTAATTTTTATGTGTCTTTTCATTGAAATGGTTTTTGCCAGGGCAATGGAAATGTTTTCTATGTTCAGTTTGGAAATATGATAGAAGTAAACAGAGTAGCGATACTTACATACATACACCTCTTCTCTTCGCCCTCTGTGCTTCTAATTCTTTGATTTCCATTGTAAACTATTGCGATATCTGTTGTACTTGGGCAATCCTTAAGAGCAATACAAACCATGAATGCCATGGAGAGTTATCAAAGAGTGTGAAGGAGTCGTGAACCTAAAAATAACAGAAACAAAAATTGTCAAAAAAGTAACAGAAAAACAAAAAATAAACTGCTACTTTCCAAAAATAAGATGTTACAATAAAAGTTATTTTTAGAGACTCAAAAGCAATCAAAATGAAATTTCTTTGTGAAAGGAAGGTATTTTCATTCATTTCCAGAGAACAACCTTGAAGGTACTGTTTATTGTTATTGGTTTTCTCGACGAAAAAGAAAATCCTTATCAACAATCTTACCAGTAGTCTGTATTAGAACACGTCTAGACCTTGCTTAATTCTGCGTTCAATTGAGATCGAATAGTATTTTTTTTGTAGCATTTAATAATAGGTATATATTTTTATATGTTGATTTATGAAGTATATTATCATGAAAGAACTCTTTGAGAACACAAAAAATACGTCAAACATGCATAGATTCTCTGTTCAGATGAAACCATTTTTGTTTTTGTTTGCACAATTTGTTGGCACAAAATTGAGTAGAAGAACGGCACACGTGTGTAATTTCACCCTAGGGATTAAGTGGATGCAATATGATCTGAAATTTTGTTCGTTAACCCTCCTGTTTCATTTGTTCAGTAGAGCTTGCCCTGTCTTTCGGGCGCACTCTCAATTTTCTTGACGGTCTCTGCCTAAGACAGTGTTAGCAAGGATTTGGCCATCGCAAAGACCGTCAGGCCCTCACAGGGGGTTACGCGTTGAAGTCTCCATTGCCACTGACTTTTTGAATTGAATTGAATTTGCCTTATTTTACGTGGCGAGACTCGGGCCATCAGGCCCGCTCTTCCGTCTGACCACGCAAATTTCGCTACGCTCCTTTCACCAACTAGGAGAGAAAGGAGGTATTTCTTGGGCGAGAAACAGGCGATTTGAATTTAGCTCAGAGGCGTCATTTAGGCTTGAAGATCTTTTTACATGCAAGTAAATCTACGAACATGGGACAGCCGGGTTTACTTCCCCTCCGAAGGAAGGCGTACGAAGGACTGACTTAGCAGGAATTGCGACCGAGAGGTCGTAGGATTCGATTATTGTTGGTGGTAATGATTTTCGACGTCAGCTCTGTCGAATTTATCAGCTGTCTGAAGAGAATTCCTGTGGTCTGCTGCACTGATCGGCAGTTATCCGTGATTTTTCTGATCAGTAACAGGCGAATTTCGGAGTAGTACCTTAACAAAAGGGCCACGGGTAGCGCGTCATCATTCCTTCCTCTTCCTTGTCTTATAACCTCTCCCCTTACCTACACACTTCCTTAGGTATTACACATGGCTGAAGACTAGTCGGAGCTTTGAGAGGCTGGGGCGGTGCCTCACTGGAGAATATATCTGGAGGGGGAATTTTCCCGCAATCCCTCGAGATGTAGGTCGGAGGGGAAAACGATCTCACCATCTCCAGACAGAAAATACATTCAATTCCTTGAAGGGGGAAATGACCACAGCAGCTTTTACGATCCCGGAAACATCGATCAGTTGGGTTACGTGGCACTTTCGCCCTTTATGTTCTTCTCGTTCGGGCAAATACGAGCGTTTGTGGCCACTACACGGAGGGGAAGACGGCACTCACCCCCCAGCGCGAGCTGCTGATTTTCCTCGCTTCACACGATCATTGTCGTCAGTGCCCCGAGGGTCTGTGCGCGTAACCCAGTCCGCTTGAGGGCAGGTAGAGATGCGCCCTCGCCGAGAAGCAACAAAAGCGAACCTCGCCCGCACGCAGGCGAGCCGCAGACGGGGCGACCGGCAGGTGCGGGGCGAGGAGCACACACCGGGCGCCCTGGTGGAAACCGGACACGGATAACCGCGCATCTGTCGCACGTCTTCGAAATACGATTATGGACAGAGATGCGCGGATTCAAACGGGTGAAACAACCGCGTTGCCAGCGCGCGTATGAGCGCCTACTACGAGACCTCCATCATTTTTGACCATCGGCCCCCGAGCCGGTGGCGCGGCAGTAGCGACTGCAGATCAAGGGGCCGCGTTTGCACACCTGTCATCGGCAGCGAACTCGGCGCGACGCCGCCGCCCTCTCCCGCCGGCCTCTCCCGCCCTCGACCCTTCGCGTCGCGCGAGCGCTTTGCTTGGGCCTTTGCGGCGGCGGCGGCCCGGTGACAGGCGGGGAGGGCAGGGAGTCGAACCGCGCGCCCGTTGACACAGCGATGGGCGATGGCGCGCTCCTCGATCGGCCGTTCCGATGCAGCGCCCCCGCCCCCCGTCGCCGCGGAACTTCAAAGGACGCGCGGGCGGCGCGGAGCGGCGGTCGCGCGCGCGAAGCGCGTGTCCCGGCCTCGGCCCGACGCCGGCGCCAGCGCCAGCACGCGGCGGCGCCCGCTCTCTAAACCGCGCGGCGGGCGTGATTCATATCCGGTTCGGCTCGCGAGCCGTAATACAGGGGTGGAGGTGGGGGCAGGGCGGCGGGTGCGGTTGCGGGGGCTGCCAAAGTATTATAACACACATTTCCGTTTTGTATTTTTACCGTAAAAGCCAATATATCAAAGACCGCAGAGAGCGCGCCGCTGTGCAGCGGTGCACGGTGCGGCCGCGGATGCAGGCGAGCCCGGGTCGGGCCTGGCGGTGACACGCCGGCTCCGTTCGCCTGGTTGCCGTCATCCGACGGAGATGGGTGGTGGTGCAGCGCCGGTGGCAAGGCGTGTGAATGCCGGTTGCCGGCGAAGAAGTACGAGGCAACCGGTGCCAGTAAGCGAAATGGAGCTATTTTGCCGCTTGTCGCGATGTTTGGCGTTTGGAGGTGGAATGAAGATTGTTAGTCGGTCCTTTCTCCATATTTAATACAAACGAGCTTCTTAGTGGGTGGATTCAGACGTTTTGTGGAAGGTTCATGGTTCTGGTTAGCATTCGGTTCGTTGGGCTTCAAGAATGGGTAGAGTTGGTCGGGCCTCGTGCGATCCAATGCGATATCGACCGTATTAATTTGATATACGACATATTAACATAATATGACGTATAAATTGGAATCAACTGTGACAGTAAACGCGGGCGGGTGAGTGAAAATGAGCGGTCAGGGGTGATTCCGCGAGTACGGCCGGGCCAGCGGCGGTGACGGTGGTTGCGGTCGCGGTAACCCAGCGGCGCGGGTGCAGGTGGCGGGGGCGGGGCGGTGGGGGCCCACGGCAGCGCATGGCTTTCGGAACTGCAGCGGCGCCGCGTCGCCGCTCGGAATCACGCGGCGAACATGGCGGCCCGCTCATAACCAAAGCCTCTGATCGCCCGCCCGCCCGCCGCCCGCTGCGCCGCAGCGCGCCGGCTGCCGAGAGGGGATAACGCTCCCATTATGCGGCGGCCGGGGGCACACCCGGCCAGCCCTCCAGCCCTCCCTCACCCTCCCCTCCTCCTCCTCTCCTCCTAGACTTGCAGAACGTGTTGCGCGTTTGTTTCATGGGCGCGCGCGGGACCTGGGGGGTGCGGGTTTTGTTCCGGGAGCTGGTCAGAGAGCGGGGATTTTTGGCTGTTTTTTTCGGGGGGAGGTGAGGGTGGAAGGGCATAATTCATAGATGGCTGTAGTATCATAGACATGCGAGCACTTTAAAAGAATATTTCGGGCGGATGAACTGCCCATTGAGTACGGGATTTGGGATATGCGCTGATGTCGCTCGTACTTTTCCCTGAGAAGATTTGTCCAGGGAAATAGACGTCTGATGAAACACAACATATTGGCTTTTGGATATTTATTTTTGCTGTGTCGCTAAGTAAGAGGTTACTTGAGAGAGAATATGTCTCATGTTTATCAGACGTTAAATGTTGGATAAATATAATTAACATTTGGTATCTTTTAAATTGAAAGAGTTATGAAATTCTGGCAAATTGAGAGTAGGGGTTTGATTCATGTATATATTGCCTATCTCTTTCTTTTTTGCGTGGATGAGTTTCTTAATTTCTTTGAAAAACTTTGGCTTCAATGTGTACACCCCTAATGAATCACTCAGCGCAGTTTAGTCATGTCTCCCAAGCGTTAAAGTTCTTTGCGAGACCATTGTTCCACTCGGCTGCTGCCCTTTCTGGGCCGCCGTCTTCGCGGCTGAAAAGGGCTCGTCCTCGTCCTCGTCCGGGACCAGCGCGCTTTTCGCGCCCTTTTTGATTTATTTTTACGCAGGCGCCCGTCCACCACCACCACCGCCGACTCACGCAGCGTGTTCCGGCTCGTGTACCTCGCTCGCCCCTCCCCCCCCCGCCCTCTGCCTGAAGATGGCGGAGATCTCCCAATCTAGCGGCGGCTGCGGCAGCGGGTTTCCAGTCCATTGCGCATCGGACGTCGAAATCTGCTTCCATCGCGGACGCGGCGACGCCGTGCCGTCCAGTGAACGAAAAAACAATGGCCATCAGAATTGAGGTTCGATGATAACGGCCTGTGACGGACTGCTGAAAAACTGATTTTGATCGCTTTGGTGCAAAGTACCGTAAGGAATAGCACGGGCACTCGGATATTTTTGGATAGGTTTTTTTTTACCAGTGATTGTCCTTTTATCTCCTTAATTTCCACAGCTTCACAGCGTCACTCTTTCGCTCCTGCCCGCGGCCGCCCCCCTCCGCGCCCCCGCCCTCGGCCCCGCTCACGCCCCCGCGCTTTGCACCGGCCGGCCGGGAGGCGACTTCTAGAGAAAGCGCGGGGCCGGTTCATCAGGAGATAAAGGGCATTGTCCGCAGCGCCGCCGGCCAACGCTGTTCCGGTAACGGCGTCAAGTAGAGCCCGTGTTTACCCAAGGAAACACTTTCTCATTTTCAGACGTCCTTGCCTGCTGCGCTTACACGAACCTGGCCAATTACTACTTTCCACGCTGCACGCACGATTTTGTGTAACAAGCGCGTGTCACCTTCTGGCCGCGTGCATTATGTTATAGAATCCGGGAGCGGTAATTGTAAATATAATGTTTTATAAATTGCCGTTGAAATAATTATGTTAATGCCTGCAGTTTACCGTGAATTTCTCCTCTCCTTCGATGATATTCGTCAGTTGAAAATTCAGCATGATTTAAATGCACCTGTTTTTTTAATATTTCTGTACAGATAACAAAAAATTGACAATAGATTGATTTTACGATATTTTATATAATTCAAAATATTATGCACTTAAACAGATACTTTTATTTATTTCTTAAAATATTGCTTTGGTGTTATACTTAAACTAGAAATTCCTTGAAGTAATTTTACACAAATTTCTTTCAAAAATGGCAATTGTAGGAATTTTTTGTTATCAAGAGACACTTTTATAAGCTGATCAGCCGAATAAAAACACTGGCAGAGGCAAAAATATTTTTGTAGTTTTCTGGGTAATATGGGTAATGTTTTCCCCCAAAAATATAAAGAATAGAAGGAAAACTGCATGTGCTCAAGTTTATATGTGTGAGAAGGTCCAATAACCAATTTTTCCCGTGTGTAACAATACATGTAGCCGAATTAAAGAAGTTAATTACTTCAATATCTGAGGAAATAACACAACTGTGTCAATTTTAGACGAGTCTGGGTCTACTCAAGGCATAATACCCATATTTTCGGGTGTCGCCAATGCAAATTAAATATTTGACGTTACTTGATTTTTCTTTATTTTGTAATTTTTACTGATTTAGTACTTATCAATAATAAAATAACTTCGGTATTGTATCGAATACATCTTCAACATTTAAAATGTAAGTTCAAGACATAATTTCATTACCATTATTTCGTATTACAGCCGCTATTATTAATCTTGGTAACGCTCATAGAAAGCGCGTTTTCAGTGTGTTAATCCTCGTTTCTAAAGGTTCTAATAATTTGAATAGAAGGCTTAAATTTCATTCGCAGAGCCTTTGTCAATTTGTGGTTGAACTTTATAATACTTCCAGACTTTATTTTGTTTTCAATGTGCTTAGTATAACCCTAGTGGGTTGCTGAAATGGCCGCAATTTATTTTGGACATCGCTATCAGCTGTGTAATTACATTTCAGATAACGACATGTTTCTTCAAGTTTTTAAAAAACTCGTAGGGGAAACTGTTGTACAGATATACGGAGAAAACTGTCGCACAGACGTACTTAGATACAAAGCAAGTTTTCAAAGAGTCTGTGAGAGAAATATAGGATTGTTATTTTCCTTAATCTGATATTGATATCTATATTTTATTAACGATTTTTTAGTGTGGGCTGTTTCCGTGGTTTTATGACAGTTTAAAACAGGTAAGTCAAGATCGCGGCAAAGGTAACAAGCTTACTAGAGCTCGCGGGCACTGTGTCCCGAGAAATTGGCGCGAAATTTAAAAGAAAAGATTGTACAAATCTCTTTGGAGTGGGCGGTTCGTCACTGGATATCTGCTCCGTTACAGTCTTTATGAGAAGTCAGTTGACAGTTATTGCCCCAAATTTAGCTACATTAATTGCCATTTTCTCTTTAAAGCTAAGAAATGTTCATGTAAATAAAATTATACATCAGTCACATTTCAAATTCTCAATTGAGAGTAAAATAACAAAAAAAATAATCAAAAGTATCTTGATTTTCTGTTCATGTTTACTTAAGAGTGATAGCGTGAACTTTCTAGTTTCATGTTTGGGTGTTTAAGACACATATTATTTTCTGTTAAAAGTGCTGTCCGGCCGTAAACGAGAATTGCTAACTTGGAGTTGTTAATTCTCGTATTTCACATTATTGCTAAATAGAATAAATAACTTAATGATTTAATAACAAAATGAAAACAAGGAAAGTATATGCCATCCGTTCATATTTATGCCACTTAGCAAAGATATTTATATAATGTAGAATTTAGTACTTAAATAAACATTAAATAATAAAACGTAGTGAACATAATACAGTTCTCGTATAT